GGGCTTTGCTTCTGTGAAGATTGACAGCCTTGGAGACCCTGTGGGCAGTTCCACTCTGTCCTCTAGGGGCGCTGTGGGTCAGAATGGACTCCACAGCAGTGGGTGTGGTCTGGGCTTTGCTTCTGTGACTACTGACAGCATTGGAGACCCTGTGGGCAGTTCCACTCTATCCTCTAGGGGCGCTGTGGGTCAGCATTGTCACCATGGCAGTGGGTTTTATGGGCTATGTATGGATGTGTAGATATGTGTGTATGTATATGAAATAGCTTAAAGAGAAAGGTGCTGCCTCAGCCGACTCTGACTCATGGTGACCCCGTTTAGATATCAAACCAAACCCACTGCCGTCAAGTTGGATCCAACTCATAGCGACCCCTCCTTGGGTTTTGGAGGCAGTATCACTACGGAAGTAGATTGACCAACCTTCCTTCCAAGGAGTGGCAGGTGGGTTTGAACCACCAGCCTTCTGCTTAGCAGTCGAATACCTTAGGGACTACGCCACCAGAGCTCCCCCCATGTAGATAACCATGTTAAATTCCCTAAAACCAAGATTCTTAGTAGAAGAGAAAAGGAGTACAATTACAAATCAAAGAGGAACAAGGCAGTCCTCACGTGTGACACGGCAACATTAGAATAAGCTTCTCAGCTGGTTGACCGCAGAATGTTCCCTAGTTCTGTCCACTTTCAAGTCCTCCAGGCCATGACAACCCAGGACAGTGAGCACCCTCCCTCCCACAGTACCCCTTCCGCCTACAAAGAACCAGAACTCGTTGGCGAGGGGACTGAGCCAGGTCTGAAGCAGGAAGTACACAAGGCAGTTTAGGAAGTGTCCTCGCAGAAAACAGAAACCATCCGAAACTCCAGGGTCCTGCTCAAGGGCGCAGGAGTAACTGGAAGGGGCTAGCCACAGTGAGACAACTGGGCCTCAGATTATGAAGTAAAATGCATCACTATCTTAAAATCCGATGATTTGTTATGATTCATAAAAGAAAAGGCCCTTCACTGGTCTTGGTGAGCC